TGGGCCTGGCGGTGGCCGAGGCCCGGCCCGGCCAGGACGGCCGCGTGGAGTTCCTGGTGGAGCCGGTGCCCAGGGAGGGCTTCCTGGTGCCGCAGGCCGAGTGGGGCCGGGCGGCCCTGCTGTACTCCACGCCCGGCGCCTGAGCGGACAGAGCGGACGCCGGGCTCCTCGCCCGCGGGGCCTGGACTGTGCGGACGGCGGCGAGGACCTGGGGCCGCGGCGTTCCTGGTGGGGCCTCGTGACAGGAACACCGAGGAGCCGGTGTGCTGGGCGCTGGTCCCCTGCTCTGTCCAGGCCCTCTCTGCGGTGCACAGTTCCCGGGGGAAAGTGGGAGGATTGGGGAACGTTGAGTCCAGAAAATTCCATAAAGGACGCTTCCTAACGGCTGGTGCTGAGCGTGGCCACTTGATTCCGCGGGCGGAGCGATCGGAGCGAGCTTCATTGTGGCCGGGAGGCTTCGGAGCAGCCCCAGGACATTCCTGAGGGCGCAGGCCCCCAGAGGCCCGTGGGGTCCAGTGAGGGGTGGGTGCAGGGTGCTCCCGGAGATGGTGCCGGGATCGCCCTTACCCTTTTTCTTATTACCCGAAGCCCATTCCAGGCGGGAGCCTGGAGCCAGGCCACCATGGGCTGAGCGTTCCTTGTACTGTCCCCGGGGCCCTGGGCACAGCCCTGGCCTGCTCCTGCCACGTCTCTCCAGCGGTGGGCATGGGGGACGCGGGCACGGGCAGTCTGCACCCGGGCTCCGCCTCTGCCTGGTGGGCGTGGCCTCAGGCCATGGGGAGTGGGGGGATGGGGGGGTCCCGGCAGGCCCAGGCGTGCAGCTCAGTCCCCCAACCCCCATCCCTTCAAGCCCCCCGCCTCCGGGGCGGGCGTGAGCGGGGGGCGGGGGGTGTGGGCAGCCTCCGCACCATGGCTGCTTCCTGTTGCTCCCTTCCCGCCCAGCACCTCCTTGCTCCCTCCAAGGGCCAAGGAGGCCAGTGGCTCCCCGGGAGGGGGGAGGGGCTCCTCCAGCCACGAGCTCCCAGCTGAGGGCTGGCCTGCTGTGGGGCTCCCTGGTGTGCGTGCGTGTGTGTGTGTGTGTGTGTGTGTGTGGTCTCTACCCCGCGGCCTCGGGGAATCCTGCCCCTCATTCTTGGGGTCCCTCCTAGGCCTCCTAGGCCCGTGGTCGGCCAACTGCGGCTCTTGAGCTCTTAGCAGAGGCCAGCCTAGCAGGACCCTAATTAAGTGCATAACAAGCACCTGCCTGTATAGTTTGAGGTTAAACTGCGGCTCAGAGGCATTTCAGCCGCCATCCTGTTGCCATTTGGCTCTGTTGACTAGAGTTTGCCAACCACCGTCCTGGGCCATGGGGTGACTTCCCATCCCTGCTGCTGCCCTCGATGTCTGCTGCGAGACGCGGAGTGGCTCTGCGGCGAGGACACTGGGGCCCCCTCCCCGCTGTGTCCAGGCCGGGGCCGAGGGCTGGGGTTGGTGTCAGCCCAGTGGCTTCTCACTGTAGTGAAGGGGGCGGCCACCAGGTGGCAGTGCAGCCACTGCCTCTGCTCAGGCCCAACCGCATTGGGAGGGAGGGGTGCAGGGGGCGGGGGGGGGGGGCCTGGCAGCATCTGGACTGGGGGGCGCCTCGGGGCTTCTGGGAGACACTGGCCTCCACCCCCCGCCCGCTGTCCCAGGTGCCCACGCCCTCCACCGCGGACACGGGCGCCTCGGTTCCCGTCTTTCCTAATGGGGAACATCTATGCCCACAGTGAGGCCCAGCGGCTCGGGCGGGGCAGGGCCGGGCAGGAAGGCCCCGGCGGGCTCGGCTTTTCTTGGTCTTAACTGTCCCCCCAGCACCTGAGCCCCTCGTTCTGAGCCGGGGGGCTCCTGGCCTTGCCCTGTGGGGGGACCTGGCGGGCCGGGTGGGGGGCCTGGCGGCTGGGCACCCGAGGCGGCCCCCACAGCTGGGACTTATTTCACGAAGCCCTTTTTCTTAAAGTGCCGGCGCCCCTGAATGCTCGATGCAGAGGAGGGGGCGTTTATAGCGGCAATCACTTCCTCCCTGTCTGGTGGGCAAGCAGACGGGGCCCTGCCAAGCATGGGGGCCGGAGCTTCCAGCCCTGCGCCCCAGGAGCCCAGCCCCGTCCCACCCCCCACCCCCGCCCGGGCTCACGCACAGCAAAGTTCACAGGTGGCACTGAAGCCTGCCCCCTACCCATCCCTCAGGTGTAACGGCTCCGAAATAAATTGCCGCCTGGAGGAAGGGAAGAGCTCACCTGTGAGAAGGCTCGGGCTCCCTGGCGTGGAGTCAGCCTGCCCCAGCCCCTGCCCCTGCCCCTGCCCCTGCCCCAGGCCCGGCCCCGGCCCCGGCCCCAGGCTCCTGCCCCAGCCCTGTCCCCACACCCAGGGCTTATAAGCTCACAGTCCAGGGCCTGCTGCTCCCCTCCTGGTCATCCCTCCTCTTCCCTGGGCATTGATGGCGGCCCCGCGCCTTCACGCCCGGCCTCAGGCCTGGGACCCGCTGGCGGGAGCGGAGGGCTCACCTCCCAGCAGCTCCTGGGGCTGCAGCTCCGAGTCACACCAGCGAGGCCGTGGGCGGGTCTTAGTGATCTGCCCAGCTCCACTGACAACAGCCCCCTCCGCTCCTTCCCCTGCAGCCACCCCGCCCCCGTGCCCAGCTCTGAGGCCAGGCAGGGCTGTGGGAACCGTGAGCCCGCCCCGGCCGGGCCTGGGATGGTGGGACGGTCAGCCTGCAGGACTGGGCGCTGGACCCTCGCCCACCCCCTTCTGGCCGCCGGGGCGCAGTGCAGCCAGGCTGCCCTCCCCCCAATCAGAGCGCTGTCCTGGTTTGAAGAAAGACGTCTTTATTAATAATCTTAATAATAATACTGTGGGTTTGGATGGTCACACCTGGGAAGCATACGTGGTAAGAAAGGAAGCCGGCCTGGCGGAGGCCCGGCGGGCGGGGGCGCAGCGGCTGAGAAGAGGGCTGGCTGGGGTTCGGGGCTCTGTACACGGAGTAGAAAAGGGGGCGCTTCGGGAGCGGATGCAGATACAAAGTGAGGTCGGGCCTTCCCCCCGTCAGTGCGAGAGCCATCGGGGCCTGGAGGGGTGTTTTTTGCTATTTTTTGCTGCTGCCCCAACTCTAGCTCGCTGCCTGGCCTGGGGCTTTATCCTGTGACCTGCCATGGGCGCCCCACCCCAAGGTCTTCATCCTGCCTCCCCCCTCCCCCAGCCCCATCCCTGCTCTGGCCTGGCCGTCCAGCCCCATAGCACCGTGACTCCCAACCCCACGGTGAGCCCGGTGCGGCCGACCCTCCGGACCAGGCCCAGAGCCGCCTCCGAGAGGAAACCAGACTCAGCAGTCAGAGCACGTCCGGTCCCTGGCCTCCGGGCCCCTCGGCCCACGTTCTCGGGGGCGGAGTCAGTCCTGGCTGGTGCCCGGGAGCCCCTCACGTGGAGGGCGGGGGGCCTGGGCGCCCCTTGGTTCTGGAACCACATCAGCCCTTGGTGCGGGGGTTGGACCCCCAGGTCCGCGGACTCGGGCTGGGGCATGGCGCGGGGAGGGCTGGGCCCGGGCGGGACTCGGTGACGGCGTGGCCGGAGCCGGAGCCGGGACGGACAGCTGCTGCTCCGGGGCCGGCGGCGCCCCTTCCGCCCTCCGCCGGCACAGTCCGCAGTCGGCAGCAGAGATCACGTCCTGCGGCGCCCCCTCCGCCCTCGGCCGGCACAGTCCGCAGTCGGCAGCAGAGATCACGTCCTGCGGCGCCCCCGGGGCCAGGCCCTCTGCGCGCGGCAGAAGGAAGACGGGGTGGAGCCGCGGGCCCTCTGCTCCCTCCCTCGCTCCTGGAGGCGCGGCCGGCTCTCCCTGGCCTCCGACGGCTCCTTGCACAAGGGACCTGGGCGTGGCGGGGGTCTCGTTTGGCTGGATTTGTTGCTTGGATCTTAACATCTTTTTTTGTTTTGTTTTTTGTTTTGTGATTTTTTTGTTTGTTTTTGCGTTTGCCCTTCATGATCCGAGAAGGTTTCACTACAACAGAAACAGAGAGGGACGGGCCGTTCCGGAAGCCACTCGGGCCAGGAGGACAGCGCGGCGAGGGCGGCCGAGGCCGGGAGGTGCCAGGGACGGCCCCCCCGGCCCCCACCGGTCCCCGGCCCGGCCTTCAGGACCCCTCCCCTCCTCTCTGGAGCTGGAGGCCAGGGGATGGCTGCCCCCAGGGCAGGAGGTGGCAGGAATGGAGGGCCTGGGGACCCGGGGGCAGCGGCTCTGCTGAGGTGGGCAGGGGCCTGGCTGGCTGTGGCAGGAGGAAGGGGTGAGGGGTGTGACCACGTGGGCGGTGTGGCATGAGGCAGCTGAGGAGGCTGTGCTCTGGCCTGATCTGGCCCCCACCGCAGGGAGCCACGCCCCCGGCCCACGCCGCCTGCTCCTGGAACGAGGTGCATGGCCAGGCCGGGCCTGGGTGGCGGACTTTCCGGAGGCTCCCTCGGGGTTCGGGCCTGGGAAGGTGTGAGCTCACTGGGCAGAGCTAAGCCCAGTGCCTCCCTGGCTGACCCGCCAACACAGAGCGCTGAGCCCAGGTGGGCATCACCCGCTCCCACCCGCTCCCCTGACCTGACCCGCTCTGGCTCCGGCTCCCCCTCGGAAGCAGACCCTGAGGAACGGGCATTTCTGAGCTGGGGGCTGGGAGGCGGAGCCGTGGCTCCAGGAAAACACCAGGCCCGGCGGCCGCCACCCTATCCCGGAGGACAGCGGAGGCGGGCGCCCCGGGGCTCCTGGTGGGGAATTTCTCCCTTCGCTTTGGTTTCTGATGCCAGAGGCTAAGGCGCCTCCGCAGCTGGTGTGGCCCTGCCGGCAGAGGGCACTGCCCGTACACAGGGTCAGCCCTGAGTCTCAGCTGGTGGAGAGGGGGCATTGTCCTGCCCACACTCTGGCAGGACAAGGACTGTGGCCGGGCATCTTCTGTGGCTCTGCACCCCCCCCCCCGGCAGGGGCGTGGCTCGCCCCGGGGGCGTGGCTCTGGTGCTGGCCGGGACGCCCTGCCGCTCAGCCGCCCGCTGTGGGTACTGTACCTGAACCGGCTTGGGGTTGGGGAACACAACGTCAACAAAGCCAAACCCAGGGCTCAGACACACGGGGACCGAGTCACACACACGCCACCGCGGCCGGCCAGCGAGCGGCTGGCGGGGCGCACTGTCCTCCTGAGGCTGGGCCTGGCTCGGGGTGCTGGGTGTGGTGTGTGCTAGAGTCTGTGACTGCGCCTAGGGGTGGGCCTCTTGCTAGTAGGGGGTGAAGCGGCTGTGCCCTCCTCGGCAGAGGCCTGCCTGCAACATCAAAGATGGAAAACAGCCAATCAGTACCGCCTTCCGGAGTGGGCGGAGAAGCAAAAAGAAAAAAGGAGGAAGAACAAAAAGAAAAATAGCGAACCCCGTGTTCCGCCCCCTCGCGGTCTGCCTGGGGAGGGCGGGCGTGGCTGTTCTGGCCGCAGGAGGGTATGTGTGTGGGGGGGCAGGGGCATCTGAGCCACGGCTCCTGGGTAAGAAGGTGTGGGATGTTCGGGGACTGTGGCTCTGGCCTGGCCCTCCACTGCCCTCCATCCGGGAGGTCTGAGCAGGAGCCCTCCTCCTGGGGTCCCAGGACTGCTGTGGGGTCTGAGTTCTCCCAAACATGGGGGGTGGGCAGCCCTGTCAGGGTTCCCCGGCCTCAGCTTCCTGGGGTCCCTCAGGCCAACAGCTCTGACATTCTCGCTGTCTGTCCCCGGCTCAGCTCCTGGGCAGGGGCGGGCCTCTATAGGGACCTCCCGCCCCGCCCACCAGATGTCAGAAAAGGCGAGAGACTGCAAGGGCCAGGAGAGTTGGGGGGAGAGAAAAAACCTTAAAAAGAGAAAAAACCTAAACGGGGCCCCGCTGAGCGGTCAGGAGGGCCCTCAGCGGCAGCTGGTGGTGGGCTGGGCGGTCCAGAGCCACAGGGCCTGGAGCCCAGCGCAGGCTGCGCCCGCTGCACCCGGGAGGGGGGCTCCCAGGCCGCCTCCCAGCTGCCTGCACTCACCCCGCTGGGGTGCCTGAGGCTGGTTAAAAACCAAAACACAAAACAAAACCTGGGAGGGCTCACCAAAGCCAGAGGAGGCGGAAACCGCCCACGTGGCTGAGCCTCCCCTCACCCGAGGCGTTTTCATCTTTGATGCTGGACCCCGCTAGCTACCGCCTAACGCCTGCCTGCCGGTCAGCCTGCCGGGGAGGGCTGCAGGGCCGGGACCTGGGAGCCGGCTTCGGGGCAGTGAGCTGGGCTCTATGTGCTGACAGCAGGTGCGCGCGCACACACACACACACACAGACACACACAAAGACACACACAGAGACACACATACAGAGAAACACACACACACACACAGAGACACACACAGAAAAACACAGACACACACAAAGACACACACACAGAGACACACATACAGAGAAACACACACACACAGAGACACACACAGAAACACACACATAGAAAAACACAGACACACACAAAGACACACACACAGAGACACACATACAGAGAAACACACACACACAGAGACACACACAGAAACACACACATAGAAAAACACACACACACACACACACACACACACACACAGATATGCTGGGTCTCAGGGGTGTGCCGTCCCCGGAGCTGGCAGAGGCCGGGAGAGCACCCCATTCCCAGGGAGGGCCTCCAGGCAGGAACAGGGAGGGAGGGGGACCAGAAACAGCGGGCAGCCCCATTCCCCACCTCCATGCGAGGAGAAGCACAGCAGGAAGACGGGGTGAGGGGGGGGGGGGGGAGGGAATGGCACAGACACACCCACACGAGGGCCCTGCCTGCCTCTGGAGCGGCCTGGGGAGGCTGGTGGTTTCCTGGCGGGAGGGGGGCCCCTCAGGGTGCGGCAGGGCCGGACATGGTCCCTGGGCAGCTGCCGGCAGGGCACACCTGCCTCGGCTCCACCAGGTCAGGAGGAGCAGGTCCCCACCCTCAGCTCAGAAGCGGGCCTCGGTCTTCCCGCCTCCAGGCCGAGCCCTGCCCGTGGTCTGGGCGGCCCCCGAGGACCAGCCTGTGTCCCCCGGCCCCGCCCCGCCCCGCCCCCGCCCCTTACCATGGTCCCGATGCTGTAGGCGGCCGTGGGGCCGATGGGGGGGTGGTAGGGGTCGGCAGCGGTGTAGACTCGGCCGTAGCTGGGGAGAAGCACAGGGAGGGGTGGGGGCGAGGGAGGCAGTGAGGGGGAGCAGACCCCCATCTCCTCCGGGACGTGTCCTGAGCACCTGCCGTGGGGCGGGTCCCTCCCGGCGCCCCTCCCGGCGCCCCTCCCGTTGCCCCCTGCCCGGGTGGAAGGAGGCCGGACGCCGGGCCACCCTCGGCGCCCCCCGTGCTGACCTGGGAGCTGCCCACAGGTGCCGGGACCAGAAAGGGGCCTCACGCTCGCGTGGAGGAGAGACCCGAAAGGAGGCCAGGATCGGGGACGGGCTCAGAGACGGGAGGGCTGGGGGTGGGGACACGGGGTGGAGTGTAGAGGCTTGGCCACTAGGGGGCAGGCCCCCCATGACCTTCCTCACCCTCAGTAGTGTCACCTGACCCTGACCGCACACCTGGGCTGAGGCGGTGAGGAAGGCGTGGCCTGGGAGGGGTGCCGCCCCACCGGGAGGGAGGGCCAGGCGGACCCCAGGCCAGAGCCGCCAGACGGACAGAGGGGCTGCCCTCCTCCCAGGGGGCCATGTGCCCTTCCCCGGGGCTCTGGGGCGGACGGGCCGAGTGCCCACGGGGGAGGGTGTCAGCTGGGCCGGGGTGGGGGCCCTGGACCTGACCGCAGACCGCACAGCACCACCCCCCCCCCCCCCGGGCGGAGGCCCCTGCTCTCAGGGTCACGCCCTCCCCCGCCCTCCCCCGCCCGGTCCCACGCAGCCGGAGGCGGCGGGCACAGCCACCTCCACGGGAGCAGGGAGGACGGCCGGCGCCTCCCCGTGGCGAGCGGGAGGGACTGCAGGGGCTGCCCTGGGGTTGCCAGGCCCATCCCACCCGTCTCCTCGGCCCAGGCCCTGTGCCCACGTGGGAGCCATCCCGGCCCGTCCCGGCGCACCTGTCGCTGTAGGCGGCGGCGGCGGCGGCCGGCTGGGCGTATCTGTAGGCGGCGTAGCCTCCCTGCGGGCACAGGGGGTCCCAGGCTCAGGCCGGCGCGGCTCCCACCCTCACCGAGGCGGGTGCCGGTGCGGCTGGGGCGCCGGGCTGGCGGCCTGAGGGAGGGGTGTGGGGGCAGCGTGTCCGCCCACATCCGTGTTCACTCTCTCAGCCCTTCCTGCGTTCCGCTCACACAGCTGGGCCCCCGCAGCACCCGTCACCGGGCCCTGAGCCCGAGGACCATGGGGAGCCCCGGCTGACTCGGTGCATCCTGGCCGAGGGGAGGGTGGAGGCACTATGGGTGCCGTGCCGGCCAGGCTGGTGTGGGGGCGGGCCTCTGAGCCAGAGGAGCAGTGAGTGCGGCCCCATGAAGGGGGGTCCTGCCCAGGAGCCCTGCCTCCTGTTTTCCTCAGGCCTCGCCCTGTGGCTCCTCGGGGACCCCAGTCCGGTCAGGGACACAGCGGGGGGCACGCCGGTGGCTCACTGGGCTGCTGCGTGAGCACAGGTGGCCCGAACGGGGAGGGGTGAGGTCCCGGGGGCGCAGTGCCCTCGCCCTCCTGGGTTCCGAGGGGAGGGGACGGGGGAGAGAGCCGGGCTGGGGGGAGAGGGGGGCGGGCAGGGACGGGAAGCCGAGGACGGCTGCTGGAGATGAGCGAGGCCGCCCCCCCACCCCCGGCCCACACTTACGTAAATCTCAGCACCGTAAAAGCCATCCTGATAGACGACCCTGGAAGCAAACGGACAAGAGAGTGGAGGGAGCGCCGGAGAGGGGCGGGCCGGCTCCGGAGGCTGCTGAGGGAGGGGGCAGGGTGCCAGGCCTGCCCATGGGACGGGCATTTTAACAAGCGTTTGCTCCAGTGCCCTGTTTGGTACAACAATAGGGTAACAGCCTTGCCGTCAGCTCTTGTCCCACAAACCCAGGGCCCTCGGCCGCCTGGCTTCCCCCCTCCCTCCCAGGCCGCATCCCCCCACAGGGCGGGCGGGACCCCGGGGAGAAGGTGCAGCTGGGCAGAGAGGGCCAGCCAGCACCCACTGAGGACATCCGCTGGGGCCCCGCGTCCCCTACACGCCAGCGGCCTTCGTTCCTGGCAGGGTGGGCCTGGGGGTACTGCCCCTCAGCGTGGCTGCAGCGCCACGATCAGGGGTTCCCAGGCCCCCGCGTATAAGGAGAGGCTGCCTGCCCACGCTCGCCCGGCCCCCTCCGGGCCCAGGTACTCACGCTCCGTAGGCGGGGATGGCCGGCGGGGGCGGCGCTGCCCGGAACGCGTTGTACACGGCCCGGCCGCGGCCCCGCAGGTGCGCCCCCCGGTAGGCCACGGCCGTGCCCGTGGGGGGGTACGGGAACCCCGTCACTGCAGGAGAGGGGCAGGGTGAGGGCACGCCCTGCCCGGCCTGGCCCACAGGCCCGGTCCCGCCCGACCACGCCCCGCGGCCAGGCCAAGCTCCAGGGCCCCCCCCCCCCCCCCCCCCCCCCCCCCCCCCCCCCCCCGCTCTGCTTCTCCAGCCTTTTACCTGCATAGAATTCAGGCCCATAGACTGCGCCTACCACCGGGTTGAGCTTCCAGCCTGGATCAGGAGCAAGGAATCCAGTCACCATCTCCCCCTCCTCCCCAGCGCACGCTGCACCTGAGACACCCCCCTCCAAGGGCGGGCCCCGCCCTCTGCCATCTGGGTGGGCACAGGAGGGGGGACCTCTTCCCCACCCGCCCCTCTTCCAAAGCTGCAGCCTCCAGGGGGCTCTTCCTGCTCCCCAGTCACAGGGGCCAGGTCTCTCCCGCCCATGCGGCTGTTCAGAACCCCGAGGCCGGCCGCCGCCCTCCCATTTCACAGACGCACAGCAGAGGCCAGGAGGCGCAGCAGCCTGCTCGCAGGGCCGGTGTGCGGTGGTGCCAGCCGTGCTCCTGCCGCTCCCGCCCAGCGGCGCCCTCACCAGCCTCCCCGCTCCGGGCCGGCCGCTCTGGCACCAGGGACCCGGGCACAACCGAGCCTCCTGCGAGGGCACGCTCCGCCCAGGCTTTCAGACAGCGCGCCCACAGCTGGGTTCTGCCTCCTGGGGAGACCTCCAGGCCGAGGACGGAGTCCTTCGGGGGAGGATCCAGGACGGAGCAGAGTCCCAGAGGCAGTGATCTGAGCTGCCTCCTAGCTCCTCCACGGCTCTTCTCCGCCCGCTCTGAGGCCGGGCTGCGATCCAGCTGCCCCGGAGTCCCCGCTGGTCACTCTGCCCCCCAGGGCCTCCCCTGGTCACTCTGACCTCCCGGACCCTCTGCTGGTCACTCTGCCCCCCCCGGGGCCTCCCCTGGTCACTCTGCCCCCCCCGGGGCCTCCCCTGGTCACTCTGACCCCCCGGACCCTCCGCTGGTCACTCTGACCCCCCGGACCCTCCGCTGGTCACTCTGACCCCCCGGGCCCTCCGCTGGTCACTCTGCTCCTCCGGGGCCTCCCTGGTCACTCTGACCCCCCGGACCCTCCCCTGGTCACTCTGACCCCCTGGGGCCTCCGCCGGTCACTCTGACGCCCTGGGGCCTCCCCTGGTCACTCTGCCCCCCGGGGCCTCCCCTGGTCACTCTGACCCCCTGGGGCCTCCCCTGGTCACTCTGCCCCCCAGGGCCTCCCCTGGTCACTCTGACCCCCCTGACCCTCCGCTGGTCACTCTGACCCCCTGGGGCCTCCCCTGGTCACTCTGCCCCCCCCGGAGTCCCCGCTGGTCACTCTGCCCCCCAGACCCTCCGCCGGTCACTCTGACCCCCTGGGGCCTCCCCTGGTCACTCTGACCCCCCGAAGCCTCCGCTGGTCACTCTGCCCCCCCGGACCCTCCGCTGGTCACTCTGACCCCCTGGACCCTCCCCTGGTCACTCTGACCCCCCGGGGCCTCCGCTGGTCACTCTGCTCCTCCGGGGCCTCCCCTGGTCACTCTGCCCCCCCCGGACCCTCCGCTGGTCACTCTGACCCCCTGGGGCCTCCGCTGGTCACTCTGCCCCCCCGGACCCTCCGCTGGTCACTCTGCCCCCCCGGACCCTCCGCTGGTCACTCTGCCCCCCCGGACCCTCCGCTGGTCACTCTGCCCCCCCGGGGCCTCCCCTGGTCACTCTGCCCCCCCCGGGGCCTCCGCCGGTCACTCTGACCTCCCGGAGCCTCTGCCAGCCGGTGCTGGCCCCGTGTGCTGTCAGGGCCCCGGTCAGAGACAGCCGGGACCCACCTGGGTGGTCCCTTGTCTGTGTAAGTGGCAGCAGCTGCCCACACGTGGCGAGCCTCCCTCAGCGTTTCTGGGCAGCCAGCACTCGGCACCGGCCGCTTCTTCCCCGAGGACCGGCCGCCTGCCCAGTGCGGGGTCTGGCGCTCAGCGGGGCCGTTAGGGCTCGCTCTGCCCGCCCCAGCCTCACACGGGGTTCCCACGGCCGGGACCGCCGGCCCTTCCCACACAGCTCACTGCACCTCCCGGCCGGGCGGCCTCAGCGCTGGGGCATGACCCCGGGAGGGGCCGCGGAGCCCGTGCGCAGCCTGCCCGCGCGGGAGCCGCCCCCTCTGCCAGGGCGAGCCGGAACAGGAGGGCACTGGCGTCCGGCGAGGTCAGCCTCCGGGGCCTGCGTCCCGGCGGGCGGCCCCAGCCTCCCGCCCGGCCCTTACCGTTGGTGTAGGGGTTCGCCGTCTTCTTGTTGGTCATGACGCGGGCCGTGGCGTTATTGACCTGCTCGGCGGGGAGAGGGGAACGTGAGCTTCCGGGGGCCGCCCCGGTCCTGCTCGGCACTCCCCGCCCCGGGAGGGCGGCCGGGTGGGAAGAGGTGCTGGGCCAGGCCCCTAGGCCTCCTTCCCTGGGCCCTCCCGGCCCTCCCCCCGCCCTCCCTAGGGCTGCGTGCTGGCCGCCCAGCCGCCCGCCCCCACCCTGGCTGTCTCTCAGGGACCCTGCCTCCTCCTCCCGCTGCTCCTCTGGGCTGGGTCCCATCTAGGCCCTGGCCTCTGCTGTGACCCCGTGGGGTGAGGGCAGGCAGCAAGGGGAAGGGGGGGCGGGAGGCAGCTGCTGCTCCCTTGAGGGGGTCTGGGACCACTGGCCCCGCCCAATGGAGGGCGGACTGGCCTGGCCGTGGTCCTTGGAGCTGCCAAGCCTCCAACACACAACTCTGGGGTCCTCCCAGGGTCTGGCCGACCCCCCAGTTGGGAGGCGGGCCGGGGGGAGCCTGGCTTCTAGGCCCACGAGGACAGCGATGGGCTGGGCTCTGGCCTCAGTGTGGCCCGGCCCCCCGTCCTGTTCCGGCGGAGGTGGTGGGGGGGACCCTGGCTGGTGCTCCACAGGCGGCAGAGAACTGGGTGGGTGCCCCCACAGCGCACGGATCTGAGCACCTCAATTTTCCGTCCCTCTACGATCGTCCCGTTCAGCTTCTCCCGGGCGCGGTCAGCATCTGAGCTCGTTTCAAACGTGACAAACCCAAAGCCCTGTGCGGAGAGGACAGACACGGGCGACACGGGGTGAGAGGGAAGAAGGGGGGCGGGGGGGGCAGGGGGGGAGAGGGAAGAAGGGGGGCCGGGGGGCGGGGGGGGCAGGGGGTGAGAGGGAAGAAGGGGGGCGGGGGGCGGGGGGGCAGGGTGGGAAGAAGGGGGATCGGGGGGGTGCGGGGGGGCAGCGGGGGAGAGGAGAGAGAAGGGGTGAGTCAGCCGAGTTGAAAGAGAGACAGCAGCCCAGAGGTCTCCCTGGTGCCACCAGGGGGCGCCCAGGGGTGCGGCCCAGGCGGGACAGCCTTTGGCTGGGCCTGAGCCCGGCCTGAGCTTACCGCCTGGACTCTCCCAGGGGACAGGCCAAGGCTGCAAGGGACACTGCCCAGTGTTGCCCGGGCCCAGGCCTATGGCCCTAAGCCCGCCTGGGGCCTGAAGCTGGGTTTCCGACCTGCGGGGCAGCCAACCACCTCACCCTAAAAGCCGGGGGCGGGTGGGGGGGCAGTGTCTTCTTTTCCCACACAGGGAGCAGGGCTCTTCTCTGCTGGGCACCCTCTCTCTGCCCCTGCTGCCCCCCTGCCCCCTGCTGTCCTCCCCCTGCCCCCTGCTGACACCCCCCCCAGCCTCCGGCTGACCGGGGCAGGCCCGCCCCCGGGAGGCCCAGGGCGGACAGAGAGGTCCCGGCAGCTCAGAGAGAAGGGAGCGGCAGCAGCGGCAGCAAGGACAAGACACAGACGTGGGGGGGGGGGCGGGCATACAGGCACCCGTGTCGCTCAGGGGTCCTCGGGCGGGCGGGCGGGCGGGCGGGCGGGCGCAGCTCTCCAGGAAGGGGACGCACATGGCACACGCTAGCCTGGCGGCCCTACACGGCGCTGTAACGGTGGCGGCCTCGGGCGGCACCCACCTTGGAGCCCCGCTCGTTAAAAATGATCTCCACGTCTAAAATTCTCCCGAATTGCTGCAGAGACAGAGGGGGTGGGAGGGACAGGGGACGGCGGGTTAGGGCTGCTGGCCGGGCAGCCTGCCTCCCAGACACCCTCGCCGCTGCTCTCCGCCCTGGGCCCTCCTCCATGTCACTGGGAGACGCCTCCTGGTGGAGGGTCCCCCCCACCCCCCCGGGGTTCCCCCATCCCCAGAACAAGGCCCCGCCCACAAGCTGGGGCTGTGCCTGGTGTCAGGTGAGGGCGTCGCTGCCACCCGGGTCCCTCTCTGCTGCCACAGCTGCTGGTTGGCCCCCTAATTCGCACCCACGGGAAGGGGCTGTGGGAAGGCCCTCCCCCGCGGGAAGGGGCGGGAGAGGGCACCAGGCGGGGCTGGGCCGGGCTAGGGGCGCCGCAGTGACTGCACCCCAGGCCCCTCTACCGGCCAGGACACACCGGCCGGGGCACCGGACTCTGCCTCCCCTTCCTGCCCTCTCGCTGCCTGGAGCTGACGGCAGCCCTGACTCGCTCGCTGGCACGTGAGGCCCTCAAGCTGTGACCCGGTCGCCCAATGCCAGGGAGGGCCCAGGTCTCCAATGTGTAAAATGACGGGCTCCCCTTCACCCGGAACATCCTGGAGGTGGTGTCCCGGGTCACTGAGGCCACGTGGAGCTGCCAGCAAGGCTGCCCCAAGGCTGCCCCCGAGAGGGAGGCTGCCCTGACGGTCCCCCAGGGCCAGCAAGCTGAGGGTGGCCTGGGGCCCGGGCCCCCCAGTTCTATGTGGCCTAGGCTCAGGGTTTGGCAGCCGCTCGGCTCCAGGGCCAGGAGCGGGGTGTGTGCGAGGGAGGGGCAGATTCCTCATTGGATGACTCCCCGTCCCACACCCAGCGGGGCTCAGTCAGTGCCAAGGAAGGGGCCCCAGGGTCCCGGCTCCCAGAGGCCGGCTGGCCCGACGGCACGGCCTGGGACAGCCCCGGAGGAGCCAGGAAGGACAGGGCCAGGCGCTTGATTCCCATGGACTGTATGTTGCCCCGGAGCCCAGAGGCGGGTGCCCAGCCCCCGGCACAGCAGAGGGAGCAGGCGCCCGCTGGAGAGGCAGGGCGCCCTCTGAGGAGACGGCCCCCGGACCCAGAGGCGGCAGCAGCCTGGAGGGGACCTAGGAAACTGAAGGCTGGAGGAGGCGGTGCTGGGCCTCCCTTCCTCCCTCAGGCGCAGGTCTGGACTGGCTGGACCGGGAGGAAGGAGGCCAGGAGGAGGGGGGAGTCAGGAATGGGGGGCCGCACACACTCACCCCGAACATTTGCCGCAGGTCGGGGTCCCTGAACCGGAAGGGGATGTTGGAGACGTGGAGCCGCTTGGGGTGCTGCTTCTCGGTGGGGTCGGAGGGATGGAGCGGCTGGCTGTCCGTCTGGGCCGCCTCGTCTGTGTGCTGTGGGGAGAGACCGGAGTGAGGGCCCTCTCAGCTCCTATCCCACAGGGGGCCCCTCGGACCCTCCTCCCGGGCTGGGACCTGCTGGGGGCCGAGCTGCTCACAGGACACGGCCCCTCCAGGCCTGTGCCCCGCTGTGCCTGGACACCAGCGCCCGGCCAGGCCTCCTGGGCCGTGTCCCCTCCTCGCTCGGCCCAGGGCTGACCGTGGTCCCTCAGCTCCAGGGACCACTGGGTCTCAGGGTCCTGCGTTTGCCCCGTTCCCCGACGGGACCATTCAAGGGGATGACAAAGTGGGCGTTTCCGAACCGGCCGCCGGGCACACCCATCGTGGGGGTGCTCCCCCCCCCACAGTCATGGGGGCTGCCTCCCTGCACTTTGGGGTCAGGCACAGTGACCGGGGAGCCGGTCCTCACTTTGGATTCAAACAGTGTTTTCGCAGAGGGGGTCCGGGAGGCCTGGCCTCAGGAAGCAATGCTGCCACTCAGCCCCCCCACCCCATCCCCCGTGAAGACGGGGCTGGGATGAGGTCTGAGGCACCACGTGTCTGGGGGAAGCAGGCCCTGGCCGAGGCGGCGAGGCCCGTCCGGGGGAAGCTCCAGGATGGGCGCCGGCTCCCCGCCAGGCTGGCCTTCAGCCGGCCCTCCCTGCCAAAGGCCCAGCGGGTGCTCCATCACTGCTGCTGGGTGGTGAGAGGCTCTGACCGAGGTGCCGGCCAGCTCCCCGGGACCCGGACGCCGGGGCCACTCACAGGGACATGCCCGAACCGCCCATGACCGCTGGAGACTCCCTCTCCGGCCTCTGCCCACGGGCAAGGCAAGTGGGGCGTGACCGTCCAGCAGCCATCCTTAGTGGTGACAGACAGGACGGTGGACAGCGCCATGGGGCTCCTCTGCCCCCACACCCCACCGTGGGGCGAGCTCAGCACCGAGGGGGTAACGAGACGAGAACATAACCTCCATCTCCGCCTTCCCTTTCTCGCCTCTCTGCCCTGCCTCCTGCCCCCCCCCCCCATATTATTTTGGGACGCATCCTTGTCTCGGGATCAGCTTCCCGGACCCCTGCCTCCAGCAAAGCCACCGGGACCTCCTGCCCTGCCTGGCGGGAGCGAAAGCGGAGGGTAGGCCCCTGAGCCCACAGGGAATTTGTACAGACTGGTGGTTGCGGTCTCCCTGGTGGCCTGGAGAGGGTGCATTGCTGACGTCCGGCCAGCAGAGGGCAGTGGTTCACTCGGCCAGGAGGCCTGGCTGGAGATGGGAGGGCGGGGAGGACCACAGGAGGCGGAGGCCACTGGTGTCCACAAGACCCAGGTCCCCCTGAGCCCCCCGGGAACAGCAGAGGACGAGGCGGGAGGAGGGGGCGTGGGGCCGGGACACCGGGAAGGAAGCAGCAGACACGCGGGCTCAGTGAGTGTGAAATTGTAGGATGTGCTGAGGAGCCCGGCGGGTCACGGCACACTGGCTGCCCGCGGGAGACGCGGCCGGCCCACCATTTATCGCCGCGGCCCAGGCAGCCTGCGCACCGCCCACACACAGGCACGGAGCCACACCACGACACCTCGCCGCCGCTGGTCTCGGTGGCTTTGCTCCTACGCCCTCCTCTGTGTCAGCTGGCCACCCCCCCTCACCCCTCCGAGCCAGGAGCCATCCCCCCACTCCCCCGCCCCTCCGGGCCAGGAGCCATCCCCCCTCACCCCTCTGGGCCAGGAGCCATCCCCCCGCCCCCCTCCTGGCCAGGAGCCATCCCCCCCCCCCCGCCCCTCCGGGCCAGGAGCCATCCCCCCTCACCCCTCCCGGCCAGGAGCCATCCCCCCACTCCCCCGCCCCCCTCCTGGCCAGGAGCCATCCCCGCCCCCCTGCCCCTCCGGGCCAGGAGCCATCCCCCCACTCCCCCGCCCCTCCGGGCCAGGAGCCATCCCCCCACCCCTCCCGGCCAGGAGCCATCCCCCCGCCCCCCTCCGGGCCAGGAGCCATCCCCCCTCACCCCTCTGGGCCAGGAGCCATCCCCCCCCCCCTCCCGGCCAGGAGCCATCCCCCCCCCACCCCTCCGGGCCAGGAGCCATCCCCCCGCCCCCCTCCGGGCCAGGAGCCGGCCCTGGCGGACCTCAGGAGCGGCCACTCTCTGAGGAGCCTGCAGCCCCCTCCACCTGGGCCTCCCCAAGGCCAGGAAGGAGGAGGCCAAGAAGGTGGTGGGCAGGGGCTGTGGAAAAGGGGCCTCGGGCAGTAGACTCGGACCCATGCCCGGTGCTGCCATGAGCCAGGCTCGCCGACATGTGACAAGATGGAGCGGGTCTTGCAAAGCTCCTTTCTCCGCAGCCCTGAGCCCTCGCCCTCCTTCACGTCCTCTGTGCCTGTGTGCTGCCCGCCAGCCAGCTGTCCGATGGGGCTCCCCCGCGGGAGCCGGGCAGCCTGGAGGAGGCGTGTCCCCAGGGCAGCCTCCCGCCATCCGTTCGGACATCTTGTTCCGCCTGGGGCGCGGGCAGCCGCTCTGGGCAGAGCTGTGTCCGTCCCTCGCTGCCTCTGCCAAGAGCACGAAGACGGCCAGGGGATCCAACGCAGAAGGGGGGTCTGGACAAGGGGGGGCTCGTCGGCCTGCACCCCCGGTCTGAGCAGGCGGCTCGCTGAGCTGAAGGACCTCGGAGAGGGGCAGGGACCGCTGACCAGGCAGACGCTCAGCCTTCAGGTGGCGGGGGGCAGCCTCCAGGGAGAGGGCGGCTCCTGGAGTCTGGAGCAGGCGGGTGTACACGGCCCGGCTCCAGCTCCGAGGCGGCGAGGCTCCGGCAGCTCGGGGTCCCCAGCCGCCCAGCGAGGGCCCGGCGGTGCTCCTCGGGCCGGGGCCTGGGCACGGCCTGTCCTCCTGAGCCCGGCTTCTGTAGGACCTGGAGCCCGGGCAGAGCGAGGGCCGCCCATCCCTCAGGCCGGCGCGGCCCCGGGGGCACTCGGCTGGTGCCCGAGCCTCTCCCCTCTCTCAGGGGGACTTCACCCGGGGACTCTGGGGTCCCCCCGGGCACAGACTCTCACAGCCACCGAGGCCACGGCTGGCCCCTTCGACTTCCGTGTCCGTGGCCGGTGAGCCCGGTGGCCATCACTGCTTCTGCCCAGTGCTGCTCGGTGCCAGTCATGGTGCCCACGTACCCGCCGAGGGAAGGCAGACTCCACAGCCCCGGTCAGGCATCGGGCATTACGCCAGCTGCGCTCTGATCCTCTCGCCTCCCACGTGCCCACTTTCCAGGCGAATCCGGGCCCCCATCCGTCCGTGAGGCGGCGTGAGGCCTGACCAGGCGCCCGTCCTCTGGTCCGTCAGGAGGCCAGCGGCCGGCAGCACGCCCCGGGAGCGCGGTCACGGTGTCAGGAGGAGCAGGGGAGCGTGGGGCCTCCCAGGTCGGCGGCCCACGGGCCCGGCTCCTCCCACTGGCAGGAACCCCGCATCCGTGGGCGACTCCGCACCAGGGACCCAGGGCGCCGAGGTGGCGGCTTCCCGAGGACTCCGCTGGCCAGCGCTCCCCGGGGGAGGACGGCCCTGGCGGGGCCCCAGCCGAGGGTCCGGTCCAGTCCAGTCCAGCCGGGGCGGCTGGGTGGCTCTCCCCAGAGCTAGAGGGTGCTGTCCACGCAAGAAGGGCAGGTAACAATTGGGTCTACGCAGCACCCGGGGAGCCAGACTGGATCACGGGGAGGGGGGGCACCCATCGGGAGAGGGCAGTGCCACTCCTGGGCAGCTCCTTTGAAGCTGCTGGCCCCTTGCCCGGACTGGGCAGCCAGCGCTGGCGTGGAGCCAGCAGGGAAGTTGGATGGCCCCACAGCCCAGCACAGCGGTGAGGCGGGGCAGGGGGGCGGGGGCTGGAGACCGGTGGGGGGGTGCAGGGTGGGCTAGGCTGGCTGGGGTCCTGGGGCTGGTCTCAGGAGGGGGCCAGGGCAGGCTGGGGTCCTGGGGCTGGTCTCAGGAGGGGGCCAGGGCTGGCTGGGGTCCTGGTCTCGGGAGGGTGGCTGGGGCAGGCTGGGGTCCCGGGGCTGATCTCAGGAGGGGGCCGGGGCAGGCTGGGGTACTGGGGCTGATCTCGGGAGGGGGCCGGGGCAGGCTGGGGTCCCAGGGCTGGTCTCAGGAGGGGGCCGGGGCACAGCCACCCCTCCCCACAAGCTCACATCGAAGTGCAGGCTCAGCCTGCATGACAACCACATAATGAAGCTATCTGATTGGAGGGCAGCCAAGCAGGTAGATTACAAATGATTAGAAACGAGAGGAGCGCCCGCCACCAACAGCTCCGAGGCCCTGGGCTCTCCCGCCGCCGCCCCCCTCTCACCCCCACACCGGCGAGCCCAGGCTGCCCGCCTCCGCGTGTCTCCACTGCCCGCTCCGTCCCTGGCAGCCCGCACGCTCCCTCGGGAGGCGAGGGCTGGGCCTGGCTGGGCAGGGGCCACCGAGAGAGGCTCCATGAGGACCAAGAGCTGCGAGCCTGGGACCCCCACCAAGTCCCTCCCTCCACCCAGGGCTGGCCTCGCGCCCCGAAGCTCTGTCTCGGGCCCTTACCGGCACTGTGGGGGCGCCCGCCATGGGCTGCGTGCTGGCCTCGGTGCCCGGCTGCTCGGGGTGGGTCTGTGCTGGTGTGAACAGGGTCAGGCCGTGCTCCGGGGGCACCGGGGTCTGGCCCGGGTAGTCCGGGGTGGGGTGCGGCGGGGGCGGGGCGAACTCGGCCGGGATGCCGTTCTGTGGGGGAGGCGGGTACTGGGCGGGGGGGTAGGGCTGGGCCATCGCTTCAGGCGGAGCCGTGGCGTCCTGGCTGCCCTGTGGAGGAGAGAGAAGGCTGTTTAGACTCGGGGGGCCCGGGCGCTGCCCCCCTGAAATCGGGGTGCTGTGGGGACCAGCGATGTGGGGCACACACGCAGCCTCCGAGGAGGGACTGGGGCCCCTTATGGTGTGTGTGTGGGGGAGGCAGGCTGGGAGCACCCGGCCTGCCCCCGGCCCCTGGAGCCAGCCCCCACAGCGCCCCCCACGCCCCGCCCGGCCCGGCCCCTCCTCTGGCCCCGGCCCGCGGGCACCGTGGAGGCGGGGCCGGTGGCGGCCTCGCTTCCCGTTTGGCGCCGGCTGGCTCATGGCGGGCGAGCGAGGATCCAATCTCGGGCTGATTAAATGTCCCTCATTAACGAGCTTCTTTAATTAATGAAGTTTGGGTCCGCTCCACTGCTTCGCCCGCTGCTCTGCCTCCTCAGCAGAGCCGTTTCCGCGGTAATGGAGGCAGCGCCTTCCTGCCGACGCTGCACTTTGCTGATTGCGCCCGTCAGCGCGGGGCTGACAGCTCCATTTTTAAACGCTGCTTCCCCAGCAGCCATGGCACGTGTGGGCTGGCACACGCAGACGGCCAGGCCCCGGGCCCCCGCCCGTCACGGCAGCTCATGCACACAGATGCTCACGCGTGGGCATGCTCACATGGTCCCAGGTCATCTCGGGTGACCCAGAGTGCACACGGCCAGCACACACAGGCACACGCTCCTGCAGGGGCCCTTGCCTGCACACAACACGCCTGCACATGGGCCCTCACACTGTGCATGCACACCCACACGCCACACCTCGCCGTATCCAGCTACCATGTGCACCCACACACACCTCACCCACATGCGCACACAGGGCGTGTGCTCTCAGTCCCGCCCTGGTGGGCACTCAAACCCATGTCCACACTCACGCCTCCCACACGCAGTGCACATGCACCCAAACCCCACCAAGAGCCAGCCCGGCAGGGAGAGCGCACACAAGCCCACGCAGGCAGGCCCTCTGCCACCGCCTGCCCTCCCTCCCGTGGTCCGGGACCCTGCTCGGTGCCCTCGGCGCCCGCCCTGCTGTGCCAGGTGCCAGCTCGGGCCCTGGGCCTGGAGGTGGTGCACCCCCTCTCGCCGGCTCCGGAAAAGCTCCCGAGTTAAAGATACTTGTCTCCTGCTGACGAGGCGGGCAGTGCACAGGAGACCGGGCGGTCAGGGGTCACTGCGCCTCAGACGGAGGGGCCAGCTGCCTGTGGGTGGGGACAGGGGCGGACAATCTGAAGGACCAGGACTCGGCCCCAAGGCAGAGATGGGGCTTTTGGGACCAGGCGAGGCTTCGGCCGGGCAGGACCACACTCGGCGGGGATGACACCCGGGGGGGGGGGGGCAGGCACGTTGGCTGTATAGCTCTGTGCCCAGTGCCCAAGGGGCCAGGCACACTGCGTGCTGCACACCTATCACACGCAGGCGCTGTCACCTCCCCACGGCCCTGGGAGTGCTCAGAGGCCCGGCCACCGCCGCCCAGCTGTGCTCCCAGACCAGCACTTGCGAGGCACATGGACTCTAGTCTTCTGGAACGTTCTATAAAAAGGCCCCCACCTTCCTGCTGCCAGCGCTTGGGCCACCGGACTCATCCCCAGGCAGCCCCGGGGGCCGAGAGGGGTCCTGCTGGCCACCAGGGTGCCCTGCGCGCCCACTGGCCTGGCTCCATGTCCAGGTCCTCTCAGCCAGCTGCTTGGCTTTTGTCTTTTTAAAAATATGTTTTTATAGATCTCAAAGAAGAAGGGAGAGGGAGAGAGACAGAAGGATGCATGATGAGAGAGAATCGTTGACTGCTGCCTTCTGCACGCCCCCCACTGAGGATGGAGCCGTAACAGGGCATGCGTGCGGACCGGAATCAAACCGGGACCCTTCAGCCCACAGGCTGGCACGCTTTCTACTGAGCCAACCGGCCAGGGCTGTTTTGTTTTTAACTGATTTCGTTGCACTAAGACCAGTGGTCAGCAAACGGCGGCTCGCGAGCCCCATGCGGCTCTTTGGCCCCTTGAGTGTGGCTCTTCCACAAAACACCCCGGCCTGGGCCAGTCTATTTTGAAGAAGTGGCGTTAGAAGAAGTTTAAGTTTAAAAAAAAATGTGGCTCTCCAAAGAAATGTCAATCGTTGTCCTGTTCATATTTGGCTCTGTGGACGAATGAGTTTGCCGACCACTGAGCTAGTGGCCAATCTGCTCATTCTGATCCTGAAACTGCAGTTACAACATGAGCAGCCACGCTGGGCTTCTCTCCTCACAGACCCCGAGGCGGAGCCTGGGGCCCGGGGTCACACAGCAAACCGGCGGGGGGGGAGGGGGACAGAGGACGGGGCTGCGCGTTCTGAGGGCCAAGCACAGGAGGGCACAGCCATGCGCCGGGGCCACGACAGCCTGCGCTCCAGCCCTGGGAAGCTGAGGGTCCCCGGGGGACCCCTCGCCTGCGGGCCGCCTGTCTCCTGGCTGGGAGGCAGGTATGGGGACAGGGCCACCTGGGCGGCCGCGCCAGACGGAGGAGCTACCTGGGTCAGCGGCGGCCAGGCCGTGTCATGCCTGTGAGCGCTCCTGCCGGGAGCCAGCGTGTGCGTGTGTGAGCATGTGTGTGCGTGTGCGTGTGAAGATGCCACTGCCAGGCGCCGGGGCCTTTGTAGAGCCGCCTGCTGCCCACCTGCCTCCGAGGAAGACACACACAGCGGCGAGAGGCGCAGGCCTGGTGGGTTCAGCCCGAGGCTCCGAGTCTGGGGGAGCGGGAGAGGGAGGGACACCGCGCTGCTTACGATGTGGCAGGAACACTGCTGGGACCAGGCGAATTAAACATCGCAGCTTTTAACGCAGTAAATGAGCACCTGGCTTACCGCCATGGCACGTTCATCTGACACCCCCGCCCCCAGCACCTCATCTGTAATCACTCCCAAACCCCGGGAAGGACGGGCCCTCCTGCCCCCAGGCTGGGCCGGCAGTGACCACAGCCCTGTCCAGAAGGTGGAGCGGGGCGGAGGGGAGACCCTGAATGTGGCTCATTACGATTGAGATTCAACTGAGAAATCAAATTTAAAAAAAAATTTGTTTACATTATTATCTGTGTACATATACCATTGCCCCCCCCCCATACATGCCCTCCCTCCCCAGAGTTTTGTGTCTATTGGTTGTACTTATATGGAGAAATCAATTTTTAATTGAGGTATTCTCCGAGCAGGCCTGCTGCCCACGGCCAAGCACCAACGGCATTTCCACCCCAAGCTGCCCCTTCCCTGTGGACACCCCTCCCTGGCCTGCTGGCCCCAGCAGGTGGGAGGGGCGTGCAGGTGGGAGGACCAGCTGGTGGAGAGCCTGCCTCCCCCACACGCTGGTGGCAGGGCTCCTGCCGGTACTGGGAAGACCGGCCACTTCTGGACTCAGCCTGGGTGCTGCACGGCGTGGGGTCGGCCTGCTGGGAGGGGGGCAGATTCTCATGGGCTGGGCTGGGCTGGCTCTGGGCCCTCATCACGGGGCCAGGACATGGGCAAGAGGGTCCCAGGGAGCGCTTCCCCGCCCTGAAGCCTACAGGGGGCCCCCCCAACCTACCACCCCCCCCCGAATCTGCAAGAGGCTCCTCCTGAGCCCCGAGGGGCCTGGGCCTCAGAACAAGGGGAGGACGTGAGGGACCGGAGCGAGGGGCGCCCGTTTAAAAACAGTTATTTCTTATTGATTTCAGAGAGCAAGGGAGAGAGACAGAAACACCAGTGCTGAGAGACTCACTGACCGGCTGCCTGCTCCGCCCTGACCGGGAGTCCAACCGCGACCTCTGGTTCACAGGTCAACGCTCAGCCACTGGGCCGCGCCGGCCAGAAGAGCCGTTCCTAGGGGGGACCTCATCACGGCCCCCAGGACCGGCTCCCGGCCCAGGATGACACCGTTTATTTCCTCTTTGGGGGCAGCCGGCTGAGTCTGGGATGGATTGAGCCCAGGAGGGGGTCCCCATGCCGCACCTTGGAGGGGTGTCCCGGGCCCCTCCCGCTTCCGCCAGGTGGGAGGCAGGCCTGTGAGACCTGGGAGGGCCGGGCGATCGGGGCCACCAGCCAGCGCCCCACACGGGGGCCCGAGCCAGCCGGGGATCCTGCCCGCACCCACGCCGGGTCCGGCCCTGGGCCACAGCCCCTGACGAGGCGGCAGCTTGTCCCGAGCTCTGCCAAGTGTCTCAGATCCGGCCTCCCTCTCGTGCTGATGGCAGTAACACGGAGCATGGCTGGAGGGGAGACAATGACTCCGAGAAGGAACGTACTGATCCAGTCATTTCTCCAGGAAGCACTGGCCTGTGAGCATTTCATTACCGAACGTCGCGCCACCCACACAGCAGCCGCGGCGGCACGGGAGCCACCGGGACCAGCCCCCCACAGCGGGTCCCCCTCCGGGCTGTGTCCCCCGGGCACGTCCTCAGCACCCCAGTGACCGGCCCGAGGCCTGGGTGCATTCCGGGCGTGACCACCCTGAGCACCTCCCGAGCGTCCAGCCCCAGGTCTGGGGTCCCGCCTGCAGCCGGGGTCCCTCCTGAGCCTCCCTTTGTCCTTTTCTGCTCCTGGGGGGTCTGGCCTAGATGTTTCCAGAAGCTCCTGCTGCCCTGCTCTGTGACCTCGGGGGGCGGGGGAGCAGTGCTTGGCCACGTGACTGCTGAGCCGCACCCTGATGCTGGCTGGGCCTCCGCTTCCAAGCCCCCAAACGAGGCTACAAACCGGGGCTCCCCCAGGTGAATGGAGGCTGAGGGTGAACGGAGACAGGAACCCGTCCCGGCGCCCTGGGGACGAGGAGCGGCCGCCCGCAGCGGGGTAACCGGGAGACGCTGCCCAGGCACTCGGACGGGTCTGAGGGCGGAGGGGGGCGGCCCTCACGGCGGTCCCTGCACCTCCAGGGTCTCCGAGGCGCAGGCGGAGGCAGAGGCTGAGGCTGGACTCCCCAGAAGACGGGAAAGGCTGAGACCCTCAGCCAGGGTTTGCAGGACTGGTGGGCGGAGGGGACAGGCGGCCTTT